AGGAACAACAACAGCTCATCCACGAAGAGGTAGACCACACAAACTCACAGAGCAGGTACTATTTGGGTGGTGGATCATTCTCAGCACTGCAGTAACACTGACGTGGTGGTGGTGTGTTAGCGTGTGTTGTGCTGGTACGAGTGGATCAGACATAGCATTGCTGCTGGAGTGCTCAAAGGCTAGGCTGCTCAGGAGTTCAGGAGCTGCATGACGCCAGGGTCGGGAAGCGACCATAGACACCCAGGCAAACGGTACCGCTGAGGTACCAGCATACAATGTGGGACACAGGTGAAAATAACTTTTATTGCTAAATTAAATTCATTAAACCATTGAATTTAAACATAAAAATACAGTTGTATTTGTGGTGTTACTGGAATTTTAATGAATATATTTCATGTATTTGATGGAGATGTTCAGTGTCAGTGAGGTGGGACAGCCCAAGATCACCATAATAAAGGTGGACACAGACATTTTAAGGGTGTAAAAGATGACAGGACATAAACTGAACTCTGTTGATGGAAATGCCAGAAATTATCTCATTCGTTTTGCGATAAGTGGTTCAATTTTGGCTCTAATCCCTCAGCAGACAGGCTGTGTAGTGTAGATTCCTGTAGATCACGTCTTTATTTCCTTTATTTGCTTTCACTCTGAGAGTGCAGGATGTGTGCAAGAGCTGTGAAACCGTCAGGGCCGCTCTGTGGACCGGACGCTCTCCGTAAACCTGCTCTGATCTGTGATGTGTTTGTGCTCATCTGGCAGCTACCAGAGCGTTTAGAACCACCGCAGACTCACACAGAGAACATCACGCTAGCACACAGGTGATGAGAGCTCACATACGCCGTTCTGAAAATACGGCTTAATGTTACTGACAATGAGTAACAAAGGCAAGGAACACCTGCACTCAACACACAGGTGCCAAAAGGGTTCTTTTTCACGATGCCAATGGCTGGTTCTTTAGAACCATTTCTGTAAATGAGGTATCTGAGTGTGAAGAACCTTTTTTAAAGTTTAACCCTTTTTCACAGTAAACATGAAACCAATTCTACCTGTATTTGAGGTCCCTCAGTTAAACTTCATCCTTTAAAACAGTTCTTCAGGGGTTCTTTAGTAAAAGCAGTGGCAGATCATAAATATTAGGACTGTTTCCAATTCCTATACGGTTTCTGGCCCCAAAGCTCTCACTGTGTGGGCTGAATGAACACATGAAACACTCTAGCACATTTCCAGTACTTCCTATTAGCCAAACATGCAATAGTAACAATATATTTACTATGTAATGAGCCTAACTTTTTAATGTGAATCTAAAAAAGTGCTGTGTTGATAGTACACTATATGGCCAAAAGTATGTGGACACCCTCCTGATTATTAACAGTTAACAATCACATAGCCTTGCAGTCTCGATAGACAAACACAGTAGAGGGTCGCACTAAAGAGCTCAGTGACCTTAAACATGGCTCTGTCATAGGATGCCACCTCTGCCTCAAGTCAGTCTGCCCTGCTAGATCTGCTCCAGACAACTGTAAGTGCTGTTGTTGTGAAATGGAAGCGTCTAGAAGCAACAACAGCTCAGCCACAAAGAGGTAGACCCCTCAAACTCACAGAGCAGGTACTATTTGGGTGTTGGGTCATTCTCAGCAAAGTATGGGGCAAAGGGGGCTAACAAAGTATGCAGAGAAACAGATGGACTACAGTCTGTAACTGTAGAACTACAAAGTGCACCTATATAGTAAGTGGAGCTGATAAAATGGACAATGAGCATAGAAACAAGGAGGTGGTCATAAATAATGTTATGCCTGAAAGGTGTGTGTGTGTATATATATATATATATATATATATATATATATATATGTGTGTGTGTGTGTGTATATATATACATGCATAACATTATACTGCCCCCCCCAACTGAGCCGCCTATCAGAGCTAAACTCCCTGACAGCACAGTGTCAACACAGCACTGCCCACCTGAGAGAGATCAGAGTAACAATCATCATCAATTAATTAATTAATTAACAAGTACACAAACACACAGTGTGAGTGTAACAGCTGTAGGAGAGTCTGTGATGTGTCAGTTCCAGTCTAGTGCTGATGATTCTGTTCAGAGATACGGATTAATATGGTGAAGTATTGATTATATCAGAGCACAGAGCGGCTCTGATACCCAGCGGTGTTTATATACAGAGTCTGACTGTTCATTAATCATTAGTGTTATTTAGTGGTATCTGACGCCGTATTAATTTTATTATTATTATTATTATTTTTCTGCTGGACTTTATTCTGCTGACCCGCCCCGCAGTTTTCAACATAATAACACTATTCAAACTCACCAACTCCGGAATGTTCACTCTGATTGGGAATGATGTGCTTATGTACAGCTTTTTGATCAGAACCCCGTGCACACGTGCCCCCGTGATTGGGGTGCAAAAGTTTGCACACCCAGCTTATGTAATGTTGATACAAGTTGACTAGCAGCACCCTGTTGACCATGTGGGAAACCATGGCAAACACCTAGCAACACCCTAGCAACCACCCGGGATACCATAGCAACAACCTAACAACATCCTAGCAACCACTTGGGATACCATAGCGACCACCTAGCAACATCCTAGCAACCACTTAGCAACACCATAGCAACCACCTGGGATACCATAGCAAAAACCTATCGACAACTTTGCAACCACCTAAAATATCATAACAACCACCTAGCAATACCGACTAGCAGCACCCTGTTGACCATGTGGGGAACAATGGGAACCACCTAGCAACACCCTAGCAACCACCTGGGATACCCTAGCAACCACCTGGGATACCATAGCAACCGTCTAGCAACACCCTGGCAACTACCTGGGATACCACAGAAACCACCTAGCAACACCCTAGCAATTACCTGAGATAACATAGCAACCACCTATCTTTGCAACCACCTGAAGAACTACAGTAACCGTCAAGGAACACCCTAACAACTACCTGGGATTACATAGCAACTACGTACCAACAACCTAGAAACCCCCTGGGATACCATAGCAGCCACCTAGTAACACCCTAGCAACTACCTGAGGTACCATAGCAACCACCTATCAACATCTTTGCAACTAATTAAAGAACCATATTAACCATTCAGCCACACCCTAACAACCATAACTACTGTACAATCGTGTTCTTCAGGTTCTTCAGGAAATGCACTTTTCTAGTTATTCATTATGATTATTCACACAATCGCTGTGCTCTGTGTGTGGAACCTGTCAGTGAGGGTGGAGAGCTGAGGTCCACACACACCCGCACACACACACACCTACACCCGCACACACACACACACCCGCACACCCACACACCCACACACACACACAGAGCATCAAAGGGAAATCCCGCAACGGAGCAAACCATTCCACACACGCAGAGGGGGAGTCACCCTCACTGTCACCGTAAACCCTCAGAGTCACAGTCCTAACCCTGTTAGAACACCGAGACCGGTGCTAGCTCCTCATTCTCCTCTGATTCTAGTCAAACAGGCCCACCTCAGAGTAACCGCCCTCTCCGTATCCCCTCCCTCCCCTCCGCCTGGGCTCCACCAGGGCTGCGCTCCAACAACAGCGCCTCCTGCTCAGGAGAGAGATCAGCACTGCTGTGGAGCTCCTACAGCTCTAACTCAGCTCCAGCCTGGGATCAGCGGCAGAACAGGGGGAGAACAGGAGGCTCTAGCCTTTTTCTTAAGGTGTCAAAAACACTCTCTGCTGAAAAAGCACCAATAGAAACTATTCGGATTAAAACCTAATGGTTTTGCTTTCTAATGGGAATTGGCCTAATGGTTTCCAACAGAGACCACTAGTTTCTTGTAGAACACCTTTAGATCTCATTAGGAAACCATCAAATTCGTTTAGAATCAGCCGCTGGTCACCAGTTAAACCATTAGGGATCTTTACACTGTGATATCAGCCCATTAAAAAAGACAAAACACATTACAGAACCATCAGGAACCAACAGAAACACCTAATGGTTTCCATGGGTTTTTTCAGCGGGGCATCTAGAACACAAATGCTTTCTAATTAGAGCACTATACACTTTAGCTAGAACACTGAGTATTCTAACTAGAGGACTATACATTCTAGCTAGAACACTAAGCATTCTAATTGGAGCACTAAGAATAGCTAGAACACTAAGCATTTTAATTGGAGCACTAAGAATAGCTAGAACACTAAGCATTTTAATTGAAGCACTATACATTCTAGCTAGAGGATTAACTATTATAGCTAGAACTATTCTAGCTAGAACACTTAACATTCTAATTGGAGCACTAAGCATTCTAGCCAGAACACTAAGTATTCTAATCGGAGCATTAAGTATTCTAGCTAAAATACTAAGCATTCTAATTAGAACACTGTACCCTCTAGCTAGAACCCAGCATTCTAATTGCAGCGCTATACATTCTAGCAAGAACACTAAGCATTTTAATTGGATCACAAAGCATTCTAGATAGAACACTATGCATTCTAATTGGAGCACTATACATTCTAACTAGAGGATAAACTATTCTAGCTAGAACTATTCTAGCTAGAACACTAAGCATTCTAATTGGAGCACTATATATTCTAGCTAGAACACTAAGCCTTGTAATTGGAGCACTATACATTCTAGCTACAATACTGCATTCTAACTGGAGCATTATAGGTTCAAGCTAGAACACTAAGCATTCAAATTGGATCACAAAGCACTCTAGCTAGAACACTCAACATTCTAATCGAAGAATTATACATTCCAGGTAGAACACTAAGCATTCTAGCTAGAAGATGAACTATTATATCTAGAAGTGTTCTAGCTAGAACAGTAAACATTCTCTGTAGAACAGTGGGTATTGTAAGTGGAGCCCTAGCTGCTGTAGTTAGGGCACTAGGCGGAGGGATTGGAGCGCAGCCTGCCTCTCTCTCTCTCTCTGTCTCTCTCTCTCTCTGTCTCTCTCTCTCTCTGTCTCTCTCTCTCTCTCTCTCTCTCTCTGTGTGTCTCTGTGTCTCTCTCTCTCTGGTCAGGTGATGTTTTTTCCTCTTCGCCATTTTGCAGTGCTGAGCTCTGCCGGGTGTGTGTGTGTGTGTGTGCGCGCGCGCGCTGTTCTCCGGGTTCTCTGTTCTGCTCTGGCTGTGAGCGCTCTGTACACTCAGACTTCCTCCTCGGACTGAAGAGCCGTCAGCAGCGCTCCGGCCTCGCGCAGTGTTATCATCAGTAATCTGATTATTGGCGTTATTGGCGAGGTGATCGGTGGAGAGGGATCATGTCCACGGAAGCTCCTGCGTACTCCCCGTTCTTCGGGGCGATGGGCGCCTCTGCAGCCATGGTGTTCAGCGGTGAGTCCGACTGTCCCTCCCGGTCCACCTTAAACGGAGCGGCGCTTACACGCCAGCGCTCAGGGGCACCGTAGTGCAACTGCTGCGCCATTTAAGGTGGAACGGGAAATTAGAATATCTCGCTGTTAATGTTCTACAGCATTTGTACTGTATTGCTCTGCCAGCGCTCGCTGTTCTGTGTTCTCCCACTGAGAGCGTTCTCTGGGTTCTGTTACTCACTGTCCTCCGCTTTTGGGCTTTGAAATGCAGATATTCCAGCTGGTGCTCTGTGAGCGCGCGAGCGCGTGAGGTTAAACAGCCTGCTCGCTCACACACAGGCCTTCAGCTCAGATAGGGCGCGAGCGCGTGGAGTCATCGAACATTCATTCAGTCTAATGAAGCCGCTCTCTTACAAAAGAGGGTTCCTCCAGGGTTCTTCAGTAAAGGGAATTTGGAACCACGAGTTCTGTATAGAGTTATTTCATGTTTTAATGGTTCTCTGCGTGGTGAAATTGTTCTTCAGGTGCATGGTGTATGTGCTGTATATGGTTCTACATAGAACCCTTTTTCAAAATGGTTCTATGTAGCACCAGAAGGGGTTCTCCTATTGTGTACAAGCTTGATGTCATAACAGTTGAAGATATCTTTTTGGTGCTATATAGAACCATATGCATCACATTCTCCATCAGTCGAAAGAACCATTTCACCATGCAAAGAACCTTTTAAGCATGAACTTGTTCTATATAGAACTCCTGGTTCTAAATAGAGCCATTCTGTTTACTAAAGAACCCTTAAAGTGTAGGGTACAGATATCTAGTACAATTCACTTTGACATCTAGGAGGTGGATTTAGATATGTAGCATAAAGTATGTAGATGCACTGTACGTCTATCTAGTCTTGATGTGTAGTGCGTATATATAGAAATATATGCATTGCATTAAATATAAAGTGTATGTAAATGTATATGCACTGTACTAGATATCAAGTTTATATATAAATGCGCATGTATTAAATAGTATGATACGTTACATGGATTGACATCTGGTCAGAAATGTATACAATCAAATGAAATGCATGTATGTGTGTTTAAGAAAATTCATGACTTCTAGTAAAATGCACATACAGAAATCTCGGAAAGGCTGCTCAGATGTTCTGTGTATTTATGTATAATCTAATATTCTATAATATAATATAATGTAAAATATTACACACACTAGGTTTATACATGTGCTGTTCTAGATAGTGTAACATGTTGTTTGGGTAGGTGATCAGAAGCAGTTATGGAACCTAATAAAATGCAAGTATTGACACTGAAACACTTCCTGTACAGGAAGTCTATGCGTATTAAGAGCGGTGAGTGTGTGAGTGTCTGTGTGTGTGTATATATAGATGTCCCTGCGTGTGCTCTATTGGTTCCTGCGTGTGTGTGTGTGTGTATAGATGTCCCTGCGTGTGCTCTATTGGTTCCTGCGTGTGTGTGTGTGTGTGTATAGATGTCCCTGCGTGTGCTCTATTGGTTCCTGCGTGTGTGTGTGTGTATAGATGTCCCTGCGTGTGCTCTATTGGTTCCTGCGTGTGCTCTATTGGTTCCTGCGTGTGCTCTATTGGTTCCTGCGTGTGTGTGTGTGTATAGATGTCCCTGCGTGTGCTCTATTGGTTCCTGCGTGTGTGTGTGTGTGTATAGATGTCCCTGCGTGTGCTCTATTGGTTCCTGCGTGTGTGTGTGTGTATAGATGTCCCTGCGTGTGCTCTATTGGTTCCTGCGTGTGCTCTATTGGTTCCTGCGTGTGTGTGTGTATAGATGTCCCTGCGTGTGCTCTATTGGTTCCTGCGTGTGTGTGTGTGTGTATAGATGTCCCTGCGTGTGCTCTATTGGTTCCTGCGTGTGTGTGTGTGTGTGTATAGATGTCCCTGCGTGTGCTCTATTGGTTCCTGCGTGTGTGTGTGTGTGTGTATAGATGTCCCTGCGTGTGCTCTATTGGTTCCTGCGTGTGTGTGTGTGTGTGTGTGTATATAGATGTCCCTGCGTGTGCTCTATTGGTTCCTGCGTGTGTGTGTGTGTGTGTGTGTGTATAGATGTCCCTGCGTGTGCTCTATTGGTTCCTGCGTGTGTGGTGTGTGTGTGTATAGATGTCCCTGCGTGTGCTCTATTGGTTCCTGCGTGTGTGTGTGTGTGTGGTATAGATGTCCCTGCGTGTGCTCTATTGGTTCCTGCGTGTGTGTGTGTGTATAGATGTCCCTGCGTGTGCTCTATTGGTTCCTGCGTGTGTGTGTGTGTATAGATGTCCCTGCGTGTGCTCTATTGGTTCCTGCGTGTGTGTGTGTGTATAGATGTCCCTGCGTGTGCTCTATTGGTTCCTGCGTGTGTGTGTGTGTATAGATGTCCCTGCGTGTGCTCTATTGGTTCCTGCGTGTGTGTGTGTATATAGATGTCCCTGCGTGTGCTCTATTGGTTCCTGCGTGTGTGTGTGTGTATATAGATGTCCCTGCGTGTGCTCTATTGGTTCTATTGTGCTGTGCCTAACAGCACAGTCGTGTGCACAAGTTTAGGCACCCCTGGGCAGGTTAAATGTAGTTGTTGATTGTCTGAGTGTGAATAAGTGAACACGTCCTCTACAGAGACTCACTACTGTACAGTTTAATACACAGTTACTGTTTATTTACTGAATTTAACACACTGAGGGTTTCCAGGCAGCCTCTTCATCGCTCGTTTTCCACTCACAGTCCAGTTTACTTATTTTTCTATCCTTTCTTTCTTGCATTATCTTTTCATTTAGTTCATTATCTTTTGATACATTCTCTTCCAATTAGTTTAGTAAATAGTTTTAACAGTAATATCATAAATAAAGCCGGTTGTGCAGATGTGAATAATCTAGAACAGTGGCAACAACATTTTCAACATAATCAGTTTTATAATTCATTTTTCTTTCTTTCTTTCAGTAGTTTGTTATATTTGTCTTGATTCCTTTTTCAAAATAAAAGTCATTTGTGCATAAATAAAAGACAAAGTACATTTAAAACCTGTTTGAGGAGATTAAAAACTAGTTAGATCTTGTGTGGACAGTTATCTGGGTGGTCTGAATGTGGCCCAGCACATACAGTGGGGGGGTGACCTTATGAAGCCAGTGACCCATATATGCTGCTGTATCGGAAGTGCAAAAGTTATGGCACTCCTTATATTTGTGTATTTTTAATGTGTTTTTTTCCCCTAATATGTTAAAGTCAGCATATAAATAAGAAAAATGCAGCAAAATTTGCATAAAAACATTAACGTGTGTCTCTGTAGACGAGTGTTGACTTATCTTCACTTCAATCAACACAATATGGAATTTGACCGGGGTGCATAAACTTTTGCACATGACTGTATGTCATACGGTGTTGGACACATGATCACATGATCACGTCTGTTAGAGATACTGAAGCACAGTTTGAAGAGAGACTGTGATGATTTAGGTGTCCAGTTAGCACCATGCTAATTGCTAATATGCTTCCAGTACTCGTTAGCTACATTTGCCTCGTAGCTCCAGTGCTAAAACTGAAGGAGCAGAACTTCAGAGACGGGACGTCTCGGCTGGTCGAGTACAGCCGGATAAGAGGGGTTTTTACTGTAACTGTGACTTTAACTGTCTTTATTGTGGCAGTCAGGAGGGTCAAAGGTCAAACAGCAGCATATGTTCTACGGTCAGCGGTTAATTAACCGTCAGCGGCTCACGCAGCAGCTGTAAAAGGCGGCCGCGTTGACCCGGCGGCCCGTATCGTTCTGTAGTACTGTAATCTGATCCAGAGCGGCTGTGAGGGGAGAGCAGGTCTAATCAGCAGGCCGCCCACAGCGGACCGTCGTTAGGAGACACAGGATGTTTACACTGTACAGTAATCAATAGCGCTGGTCTGCGGCCGGCTCGTCACTGCCACTGCTGCCGGACACGCTTATTACATCATCGCCTGATCACAATTATCTAATCTGACTGCAGTGCTTTCTGCTGGTTCCTGGTGGTGTCTAGTAGTCCTGAATGGTATTGTGTGTTTGTCCTAATGGGTTGATACCACAGTGTGAAGGACTACCCAGGTGCATGTGATGGTGTTCTACTGGGATCTAAAGGGTCCTACAGAAAACTAGTGGTCTCTAACCATTAAGCCAGTTCCCTTTAGAAAGAACAGCCATCAGGCTTTAATCCTAAAGGTTGTAGTGGTCTGTTTCCAGCAGGGCAGTCGTGAGATTTCACTCATGTTGTATAAACTAGCACAGTGTGAGCTGGACGTGTATCCATTAGTTGGCTTGAACCAAATAAATGTAAATAATTGTAAATAATTTTCTTACTTTGAACTTTTCTTCTTCTAACCTAAAGCTCTAATGTTTTAAGGTGGCAGGAAACACAGAGTACAGTGTTAAATGTTTGTATGAGTGTTTATATTAGAATATTAAAGAATATAAGATATAAATGGGATAAAACAGCTTAAAAACCGCTGATCAGCCCTGTCTGAGAGCTGTGTGGGCGTGGCTAATGAGCAGCTTGATTGACAGCTCTCTGTCCAACACGTCTAGCTCCGCCCCTCATACAGAACTATCCATTAATTATCCAGCTTTTATGTGACGCAAACTGGACGAAAAAAGTGGAGGAAGAACAGACGAGCAGACAGAAGGACGAATAAACACAGTGTGTTTACATGCACTTAATAATCTGATAACTGCAGAAAATCTGATTTCGTCAGTAATCCGATCAATGCGTTTACATGCACTTGAGTAATCAGATAATGGAAACCCCAGGTCTACATGAGTCAGACAGTAATCAGATTTATGCTTTGCAACCAGCCAATAAACTCACAGAAGTAGACGCGACGTAAACGTAACGTAAAACTCAAACTTCATACCGCAGCTTTTATAAACATCGCGCCACTTTACTGAAAATATGAACAAACATCATCTAGAAGATGAAGAATATTTAAATCCTTCATTTCTTCAAGCATGAATTTGGTTTCAGTGTCGCTCCGGAAGTGTTTAGCTGCGTCTCGCGGCGACGCTG